ACCATCAGAAAAAAATCAGCATATTATGAGGCACCACAAAGAGGCTCTTATGTAATAAGATCAATATAAAGAAAGAAGCTATTTAGAAGATATGATATGCTACTTGAGAGAAAACTCTCACTAACTGTCTCACCAGATTTCAAAGTTTGATATTAACCATGACTTTACATTCTTTGTATTAAAGATCTCAAAATATTTGAATTCATGGGGGATCCCATAGCCCTTTGAAAATTACTTAAGGAATTTAAGAAGCACTATAGAATGGTCACAGAAAAACTTCTTAATTATCTATGTAATAGTATTATGTGCATACTTAAAACTACAGAGGGGAAAAGCAAAGACAAATACTTTATTTGGCTGATTATGTTACAGACAAATATTTCTGAAAAGAGAATACATAATTGAGTTTAGCAGTGTTTTGCTATAGCAAGCAAACCCCCTTTTATGCAATTTTAGAAATGGGGTGCGGAAACAAAATGTGGTCATTCATCAGTCACTTAGCCATTGAGCCTTTTATATTGTACCTGGAAATTGAATTCCAGAAATGGCAAAAGTTTTGTGTATTCATTAAAAGAAAACTAACTGGAAAACAGGTTAGATTAATTCAGTACTATTAAAAAAAGAATTCAGAGCTGTTAATATTTTATCACAGGATAGGATACTTAAAATATAGCATTCTGTGCTGAGGTCCAAGGTGAAGTCTATAAAGATTAAAGTTCCCTTTTTTCTGATGTTCAAGTTGACTGTTGTTCAGTATGGCATATATGATAAAAGTATATTTGAGTCAAATGTGGCTTTCTAAAATGGATGCAACATTAGTGTTGCAAACAAAATCAGCACTATATTTCTTAATGAACTAAAGATTAAATTTAGAGAACACAGTTTTCTTAAATATTATAATCTCTAGAGTTTTTTTAGGACAGTCTTAGCAAGTACGATTGTTCTAGTCCTACTTGCTCTAATGTTTAAAGGTGCAATTTTATGCCATTATTGAAATTGATTTTTTAAATCTATATACCATATTATTAACATGCATTTTCAATATGAGGCAGTGTTTATGCAGTATTTAACAGAGCAATATGCTGCCAATAGAGTTTGGAGGTGGATATTTAGTTTACAGTGTATAAACTTAAAATATGCATCCCTTTAACAACGCTTTGTGTTAGCATGCTGCAAATCAAAATGGCACTTAATATTAAAAGCTGGTTTAGGGAAATTAAATGAAAATCCTGTTCATAAATGTAATGCATATGATATGTACTTTTAAGTTTTAGTTGCTTCATGTTTACATTCAGCTGTTCAACATAATTAAAATGTAATTTTACTTCATTCTACATTGTGGCTTTGTGTTTCAAATAATGTTCACATTTCTGTTTTTGCACCAGATAAGAATCAGTTCCTTGAGAGTAAATTTTTTATCTTTCTTAACTTCAGAATATTAAATTTGGAATATCTACTAAAATTGTGTGTTATGTGGCTGTAAATGATGTACACGCTGTAAAATAAGATCGCTACTGTTATGTGGGATTATTATTTCTAAATGTTACTCATTGAAATGAGCATACAATAAAAAGCATTTATTGCACTTAATGGTTTTATGATTTTATTTAAAGTTCCAATATTTTTTATTAAAAGACTTTTCACTTCAGATTTATCTTAGGCAGATTGGTCCTTTATTAAATGTCTTATTGAATTTTGTTCATTAACAACATGAGCTAGGAATTTAAACAGTTATGATGACTATGTAATGCATATTCCTCAAGTATGTATGTTATTTGCCAAAATCATAATGAAATACTATAAATAAAAGTGTTCATTTTAAGAGCTTAGATTTCATATTATAAAGAAAACTAAAAGTTTTTAACTTACTTAAATGACACAATCCTGAGAAGTGAATACATCTAATTATGTTCCTAATATACATACAAAAGGAAAAGTATTGATGTCTGTATTTGGGAGATTTCTGCAAATGATCATAAAAATAACTTTCTATGTTGAAACCAGTGAGCATTTCATAGAATTCTATATATATTGCACTGTTAAGACTCTTTGTCAATTAGATTATTAATTATTGTTTAATAATCATTAGCAGAAAAAGAAAATATCAGCCTCACATGTTAGACTAGTGCTTCTCAAATTTAAAGTCTGTAGAAATCACCTAGAGAACTTGCTGAAAATGCATATTCTGATTCGATAGATTTGGGGTATGGCCTACAATTATGCATTTCTATTAAGTTCCCGTGTGTTAACACTGTATGAGTAATAAGGTGGTAGACAAAAGCACCTGCTGTAATTCTTGCACATGTTAATTACTTTGCTTAAACAGATACTTGTGGGTGCGTGCACAGAAGGAATTTTTACTGAGGACATGGCATTTGAGCTGAAACATGAGTAGCAAGAAGGAGCCAGTCATATGAAGATCTTGTGGCAGAGCAAGGCAGAGAAACTTGCAGATGCAAACAATTTGAGATGTAACAAGCTTTGGCTGGACAATAGTTAGCAAGGGGAACTGATAGATGGCTCCAGTAAGCCGAGATCGTGCACTCCAGTCTGGGCGACAAGAGTGAAACTCCATCTTAATTAAAAAGATAAGAAAGAAGAGACCTATGAAAAGTTTGAAATGGGAAGTCATTGGGAGAATTTAAGGCAAAGAGTACTGCTATAAGTTTTGAAGATAACTCTGGAGGCTCTAAGAAATGTAAAGGAGCTGAGGGATGCACCCATGTAAGAGATTATTCCAGTTGTCATGGTTACAGTGGAGCTGGAGAAAAGTGTATTGATTTTCTTCTACTTGTATGTTGGGCTTAGAAAATGGCAGCCCAGGCAGAACAGATATTAATTTAGCCCATGTTAAAAACAAAATGTCTTAAAAAATACAGATCTTCCTGGCATAAGGGCTTTCCTACATACCAGAACAGATTCCACCTATAAATGTAGATCTATTCGTTCAAGTACTTTCACAAGACAAAGAAAAAATTGGGAATTACTGCAAAATCATTATTTCCATAACAGGGTGACCATGTGTAGATGTATTTATCCAATTGTTACTTTTAAATTGCTTATACCATGATGGAGAAGAAAGTATTTGGGAACTCTTACCCTGATGGCGCCCTTAAATTCAACTCCTCATGTCTCTTACAGGACAACCACAAGTTTAATTTGAACCTTGAACTTCCTTTCCTTAAAGATATATATCCCTTTAATTGCAGAAAACCATATGCAAAAGTAGAAAAATATAATGAACCTCTACATAGCCATCACCCAGCTTCAACAATTATCACTTTATGGCCAATCTTGTTTCATTTGTATTCTTCCTCACTTAACCCTTCATCCACTTACCCCTGGCTAGCTTATTTTGATGCCTCCTTCCCCCACTTGTTTAATTTGTAACAAATCCCAGACATTTTTGCAACAATTTTTGAAGGACATAGCACAACTCTTAACATTGGTACTTCCAATGGGGAAATGACTCATCTTCTATGAAGTCAGAGAAACAAAAGAATCATCTAACTCCTTCTACTTTCCCTTGTGAGAACCAAGAAAAAGGTGGCTAGGCTTGGAATTCTATACAGTAAGGTTATTTTTTAACTAATAAGGCTTCATTTAGAGAAGCTGCAGGATTAGGTTCAAACCTTAGAATATAATTGGATTGAGACAATTCTTAATCTCCCAGCTTTGTTCAGCTTCACCCTTTCCTTCCAAAAGAATTAAAACCTGTAAATATGGAACTGATTGAGAAAGATCTCTTAAGAGGCTTGGATCCTGGATAAGAAGTGGATATTGTTATCAGGGGGTCTTTAGATTTCTAAAGATCCTGCAGAAGAAATGGACTAATTTGTAACTTCAAGGGTATAGCACTAGATGCCCCAAACTAAAAATATGTCACCTGCCAGTTTCAATTATGCCTTTCTCTTTGAGCATTACCCAAGTAACTACTCCAAAGGGAACTCTGCCCCATTTTAAAATCTGGACCAATTGACAATATTGACACTACCTCATTTAACCTATAATGTAAGTTCTAGTCACCTCCCATCTGATTCTAAAACCCTCTTATTCTAGATTCCAACACCACTCACCCATCATGACATGGCTGTCTCCTCAGATCCTTTTAGGGAACTAGATCAAAAAGCCTATATTTTCTCTCATTTTAAGAAATTTGTCTGCCTTATTGGATCTTGATACATATGAATTATATGTATTCAACACTGTTGTCTAACAAACAGAATCAAAGCATTACGCTGGAAACACTGTTCCCTAACAAAGGATCTCTCGAACATATACTTCAATTTGAAAAAAGAATTATTTTAATGTGGTAGGATGGGAAACCAAACAAAGCCTATGAACTTAACAATATCTCGTTGTCTGTGACAGGCCAATCTAAGATTACCAAGACTGCCTGGCTAATTTTGTCATAAATTAATTTCAGTGTTCTTTTGTAAACTAAAAAGAAGCATGTCTTCTTCAGGACTAAATATTGTTAAATGTTTTGTTAAGGAAGATGCACTTGTTTATTATTTCCTTCATTTAAATGTTTTCTATGTACTATTTCATATATCCTAAGTTGTCCATGAAATACTTTATATTTTTTAACTGGATGTAAAGTACTATGGAAATCCAGTAAACTGAGTTTTGACATGTGGTGGGGAAGATGTTCATCATAAGGAAACCTTTTCACAGCATATTATTTACTTTCAAAGTAATTATTTTCAAAAGAAACGTCATCTTTTTAGATTGCAATAATGGGAAAGGTATGATGATGGCCTTTTGTTAAGGTGATCTAAATCGGGTAGTGAGATGGAAATTTTTTAAGACTATTTTGTTCTTTTCGTACTGTCTATGTTACAAAGAAGACAGCAAAAGCACCATTACAAGGTTGGGAAGAATGCTTTATGGAACAAGTGAGTTATGAAACTTTGAAAACTAAGTTTGAAAGCAAAGAAATACTAATTTAAAGAAGAAACCTGCTTCAACTGGAGGTTAAAATAGTCCACATACAGAAGTTTTCTGCTTTTGTTTTGTTTTTAATGAGAGCGATGCTTGTTAGCTTCAACATAAACATTCACATGATGATAGTTTCCTGACAAAAATACACAGCTAAGCTAAAAATCCTTCTGCATATTTCCTACTTGGACATTCACACAAACCATGTAAACACTTCACATATTTTATTTAGACACATAAACAGATTACTTTGCATGCCTTTGCACAGTCTCCATTTTATTTGACACATCTAAAGTGAAAATATGCTAGAATAGAAATTAGATAAATAGGCACTCTTCACCTGACAACTTTGAAGTTTTCAGAGATAAGCAGTGTGAAACTTATGAGAGGGAAATATATCACTACTAATTCTATTGATCTTAATCATAAATTGGAAAAGAAATGTATATATATTTAAATAGTCATTTAAATAGAATAGCTCTTTATATCATTACATTTTGTATTACAATTTAAAAAATTGTTAAGTACGATAAGGGACATTGTTATGATCTCAATTCACTATCCATGGATCAAGTGAGCCAATAAAGTGCTGACTTCTTACTTTTTAAATTTTTTTTTTGTGGATATATAGTAGGTATACATATTTATGGGATACATGAGATATTTCAATACAGGCATGCAATGTGAAATAATCACATCATAGAGAATTGGGTATCCATCCACTCAAGTATTATTTGTGTTACAAGCAATCCTGTTATACTCTTCTAGTTATTTTAAAATGTAAAATTAAGCTATTATTTACTACAGTCACCCTGTTGTGCTATCAGATACTGGGTCTTATTCATACTTTCTATCGATATGGTTTTTGTACCCATTATGCATCTCCAGTTCCCCTCACACATCCTTTTTCCCAGCCTCTGGTAACCATTCTTCTACTCTCTATATTCATGAGTTCAATTGTTTTGATTTTTAGATCCCACAAATAATTGAGAACATGCAATGTTTGTCTTTCTTTTTTTTAATTGTATTTTAGGTGTCTTTCTGTTCCTGGCTTATGTCAACATAGTGGCCTCTAGTTCCATCCACAACTTCTGAATTTTAGATTTTTAAATATTTTGGAAAAATCACACCTGTTCTCATTTTTAAACCTTAATAATAGCAGTTCCTTATTAAGCTAATAAAGCTTCCCCTTATATTATCTGTAATGTGTGCATAATATAGTACACTTTTGTTACAGTTACATATATGAATAGTTAGCAGAGGAAAAACTCCTCTGTTGTTCCTACACCAAAGGAAAAAATGTAAGGACTATATAGCCCATGAAGAATATTAACATTTTTCTACCACAAAATATTGATAAAATTTGAATTGTATTAATTCATGTTATGGAGCTTAACATTTTAGCCAAAATATTAAGATAATATAAATAAGGCCTCTAGTTTCATATCAAGACCATTTGAATATTTCTAGAAAAAGACATTAAAAGTATTTTTCTCATTTATGGTTTGATTTACTGTAGCACCTCATCTGTTCTTAATGGTTTCTTAGTATAATGCATATTAAAATATAATTATAAGGCATTACAGAATTATGTGGATACATACAAAGATATTTCATTGCGAAACTTCAAATTATGTAATTCAAATATGTTTGTTGCCTTAATCTATACTTGGACAAAGGCAATATTTTAAATTTTACTAAGTCTTAACTTTAGTCAGATGGGTTGAAATTTAAAATTTTCATCCTCATTTTGCACTGAAAAAATACTTATATCAGTTATGTTCACTTTGTAAGGTCATTAAAGCCCAATTGTTCAACCAACTTCTAAGTATACTAAATACTCTGCTACAAAATATTTCTCCCAAGTAGGATAAATCTATCAAGTATTTGTTGTTGCTATTTTTATTCCCTAAGCTTTTATGTCTATGTAATATTTCAATGATATGTTTACATACCACCATGAAAATGCTTACCTTCCTTCCACCTCCTACTACCATATTGTGTTATATGTTTTATAAGAAATAGGTGGGCTCATTTGTGAAAGGTATGCTTTGAAAGAACAGATTTACTAAGGCATTAATATGTACTTAGAACCAGAATAGCATACTGTGTAATTTACTAGACTTAGTTATTTCAAAATATAATATTCCACTTCCCTGCTAAATAAAATTAATCGTCACCTTTGACTGAGCTATATCTCCAAGAGGTGAAAATAGCATGTAATGAAGCATATCTTTTAGTCACAAGGCCTAGTGTGAAAAGCAAATTTAGACTGTATATATTATACACTAGCTATTGTTTTTTACTTCAATGTATTTTATCTTTTTTGTTAAAAAAAAACGTAATTTCATCTTGTAACTGAACTGCACATATAATATCAGAGAATATCTAATGGCATAACTTGTAAAATATATTTTCCAACAAATTATTTCCATACCTAGGAGGCACCCTATCTGAAAAATAGTGAGTTATATTCTACAGTGTCTGCAATCAAACTTTAAATAATCAGATTCCTCTTTCAGTTAGTTTGTTGTTAAACTGAATACATAAGTGTTATGGAGAAAATTTAGCTCTCCTAAATGGTTGAAGAAACTCTCATATACAGAACTAATTCATTCCATTAGATTTCTTGGATAGCAGCATGGTTCCAAATTCTGATTGGCCTTTAGTGATGGGAAAATAAGAAAGGACTAATGCAGATACACACACACACAAAACATGCCTTTGAGTAGTAATACTTAAAAGTGGATCCATTCATGGCTAGAAAAGAAAAAAAAAGGGTTATTTTACAACTGGTTTATAATTAAAGTAATTGTTACTGTATGTAAAATTATGGAAAATTATTTAAATTGATATGTACAAAACCAAAGGATATGTATTGCACTTTTGTGGCACTCTATTTTACATATATATATATATATATATATATATATATATATATTCAATGAAACAACGATTTGTCTTTCTAACTTTAGTCATGGTATGTTTCAAATGACTTTAAGCAAGAGAGAAAGAGAATTAAGTAGATATCCTCCTTAGTAATATTTAGAGTTTAAATAGGTCCAATCATCTCTGTTAATATAGATTTTCATCTGTGAATGCACTTGAATATATTTTGACCTTGCTACCAGTAACTATAGAATCTTCAAATATCAATTTTGATTTTTACTGCTGCACATTTTTAATGGAGAGAGTAGTAGTGCTACTATTCTGTAGACCCTTTATTTGGCAGAACTTCATATTGCCACCTCTGAAGTACATGTGGTTAGGGTTAGTAGCAGCAATTGCTTCTCAGTCTTAACTTTTGGCATCAAATTATCTTTGAGTGGCAAATTTAAAATTCTATGGGTTGATAATTAGTAATAAGTAATTTTTAGTTAAGTAATAACCTAACAAAAACAACATTTCAGAGTTTAAATGCAGTTATTTTTACTTTGGGTTTACTAAACATTGGTTGCTTTCATTGATGATAACAACCATATTTAAAAGATTGATGGCTGGATTGTAGTTAAAGAAGGGCTTCAGATCTAAAGAAACTTTTTGAATTTTTTTGTTGACACAAATATTTGAGCTTGTTTAAAAGTTATTTAACATGTTCAATTTTATTAATTATACATGTGAAGTGTAAATTTTAAATATTTTTCAAAAGGTTCTGCAGAATACTTGATTGATATTTATATAACTGACCATACATATACAACCATCTCCCAGATAAAGAAACAGAACATTATTAGGACCCTTGAATCCCTCCTTATGCTTCCTTTCCAACAGTATCCACCCCACAAGGATAACCATTTCTTTATTTAATAGCCATAGATTTAGTTTTGCCTACTTTTAGTACCTCAGTAGTTTGACAAGTAGATAATTTTATTAAAAGAAATCAAAGGCTGTCATTTTCACAATGTTTTAAGTCAGATCTGTATACAGGTTTGATAACTAGGATCCTCAATCTTTTATGTTTCTATTTCACCAGAAGGATATCACCCATTCTTATGATCCCTAACAGTGTCTTACTATTAGAAGCTCTTGCACCAGTGTAGGAATGTATAATTAGGAAAAAACCCAAGAGCATTCTGTTCTGTTAGCATAGTTTTTTAACCTCAACACTATTAGGGGCTGGATAGTTCTTTGTGGGGGAGACTGTCCTGCACATTGTAGTATGTTCAGCAGCATCCTCGTTCTCTACTCACTAGATGCCAATAATACCCACCCCTCTGGTTTTGAAAACCAAAAATGTCTCTAGACATTGCTAAATGTCCCCTAAGGTACAAAATGCTGCTAGAGAGAGCAATTGTGCTAGGGAATATATAGTTGGACTTTGGTATCCATGGGTTCCCCAACAATGATGAGTTGAAAATATTCAGGAAAAAAATTGTTTCTGTACTGAACATGTGCAGACTTTACTGTTAATACCTCCTAAACAATACACTATAACACTTACTTAGAATTTGCATTGAATTAGATATTGTAAGGAATCTAGAAATGACTTAAAGTTACAGTAAGATGTGCATAGGTTATATGCAAATATGCCATTCTGTATAAGGGACTTGAGCATCTACAGATTTTGATATCTGCAGGGAATCCCAGAACCAGTCTCTCATGGATACTGGGGGACAACTATATATCCCCTGTTTGATGATCATTACTTTAAAAGTTAATAGAGCAATGTGTAAAAGTTTTAGAGAAGTAGTTCTCAGTCCTTTATAAGAAGGTTTCAATAATCAGTTCTCTTAGCAATGCATTGGACCACTTAGAAAGATGCTAAGGTCCATGTCACTTGGCCATCTTGGAGAATGTTGTAGAAGGTAGAGCAAATATTGGAGTATATGATGTTTAAAGTACTTTACAGCAGCCTTACTATAATGGTGGGATTTAAAACTGGAGGTTTTTACACTCTAGGGAAGAAGCTAGAAACATGTCTTCTTTCAAAATCCTAATATATATATATATATATATATAAAATCCACAGGAATAAGTACTATATACAAGATTGCAAGACAAAGTCTACTGAAACATGCCTTTTCTCCATTTTTCACTTCCCTTCATAATTGTCTATGACATTTGCTACCTGCTTTAAAAAAAGGGAAACTTTTTTGGAAAATTTGAATGGAACCCATTCAATAACTACCGAGATAGGGAAAAAAGAAATAAAATTAGCATGTTGCTAATGTTAATCTTCTTCCTTTTATGGGGCCAAAGTTATATTTAATTTATTGTACCTTAAATAATCAATTATATTGTCCCATGTATGAATCTTTCCAAAGTTTCTTAATTCCCACTATATCTCAATAATGGAAACAGAAAATCTCAAGAGAAAAAAATACTCAAAGTTTTTAGTTCATTTGGTATTTTGCCTCAATTTTAAAAGGCTGTACATATATAGTCAAAATAGGGCTAAAAACACCCAAGTGAACTTACACAAGTGTATTTGTCTTCTGTTTTCTCAATCACAATAGTCTTTGTTTCACTACCTGGTGGTATATATTCATAGTCATCATACAGGAGGCCTAGGATTGGATATTGTGTCCTGTACCTGTAAACAAGAACAGAGTTGGTTTACAGGCTGCATGAGAAAATAACTTTCATTCCTTTTTAGTCACTCCTAGTGATTGCCCTTATTGCTGAAAACCAGTGAAAGAGAATCTTAAAAATAGCCTCAGAGAAGAAAGGACATTATTCAAAGAGTAAAAATCATAAGATTAACAAAAAACTTCTCAGTCACAATGAAAATCAGAAGACAGAAGAGCAACATTGTTAAAGTACTTTTTTTTTTAAATGACTGGCTTACTCATCTATACACAACAAAAATATTTTTGAATAATGAAGAATTGACAAAGACTGTTGTCAGACTTAAAAGGCCAAAAGAAGTCTTTACCAGAAAAGAAGCATAAGAAATGTTAAAAGAAGTTTTTAAATCAAAGGGAAAATGATATAAGATAGAAATTTGAATTTAATCAAAGTACATCATACTAGAAAGATAAATATGTAGGTAAATTTAAAACATTGTTTTTCTTATTATTCATATTTATTTAAAATGTAATTGACTTGAAAACAAAAATAATGTATTTGGGGGCTAATGACATGTAAAAGAAAATATATATAATAAAAATAGCAAAAGTTATATTAGTCATATGAAGGGGAAATGGAAGTTTACTATTACAAAGTTGTTATGCTACATGTGATGGGATATAATATTTTTGGAAAGTAGGCAGTGTCGCTTAAAGAAGAAGGCTATATACCCTACAGCAATCAAAAGAAAGAAGTACACCTAATCAGCTAATAAAATAGGTTAAATGCAACATGAAGAAATAATTAATGCAAAAGAAGAGAGGAAAAGGTAAAGAAAGAAAATGTGAGATAAATACAAAACAAATAGAAAGATGGTAAATTTAAGTCTATCCATATAGATATGTATGACCTAAACACTCCAATTAAAAAGCAATGATTGTGAAATGAGATTAAAAACTCAAGACCCAACTACATATGCTATTTAAATATACAGACCTTAACACTCTAAATATAAACAAACTAATAGATTAGTGTAAGAGGATGGAAACATACGTACCCTGCAATTTCTAATCAAAAGAAAGTTGGAGTGGTTATATTAATATTAGATGAAGTAGCCTTCAGAACAAGAAGCATAATGCATATAAAGTGTGATTTTATAATGATAAAGGTGTCAATTCATTAACAAAATGTAGCACTCCTAAATGTTCATTCATCAATAGAACATAACAATTTTAAATGTTTATGTCCCTCCCAGCAGAAATTCAAATTACATGAAGCAAATTCTGGTAGAACTGAAAGGAGAAATAAACAAATCCACAATTAGGGTTGGAGATGTTGGCATGCCTTTCAAGACAATTGATGTAAGTAGAAAGAAAATAAGTAAATACATAGATGAAATCCCCAAATATGTGGAAACCAAAAAAATACAAATGTAAAACACCCATAGATCCAAGTAGAAATTAAAAGGGAAATTAGAAAATATTTTGAACTAAATGAAAAAGAAAATATAACTGATCAAACTTGTGTGATGCAGCTAAAATAGTGCTGAAGTAGAAACTTATAGCATCAAATTTTATATTATGAAACAAGAATCATCTAAAATTAGTGCCCTGTGTTTCCAGGTTTTGAAACTGGAAAAGAAACAGAAACAGAAAAGTAAGTGGAAAATAACATAAGAAAAAACAAATATAGGAGAAGAAATTACTGAAATAGGAAACAAAGAAATAGTACAGGAGTATCAATTAAATGAATCTGATTCTTCAAGAATATCACTAAAATTGACATAACTCTAGTCAGACTGATAGCAAAGAAAAAGAACATACAGTTAACCAGTATCAAGAAAGGGATATCACTATAGGTCCCACAGTCTTTGAAAGAATAATAAAAAAAATTATGGTAAATTTGTGCCAAAAACCTGCAGATTTAGATGAAATGCACAAATTCCTTGAGAGACACAAAGTTCAAAAGCTCACTCAAGAAGAAACAGATAATCTGAGTAAGTATAGGCCAAGTTTTAAAATTGAATTTACAATTAGATCCTTTCACACAGAGCCAACTCCAGTCAAGGATGGCTTTACTAGTTAACTCTAGCAAAAAAGTTAACAAATAAATAATATCAATCTTACATAAACTCCTTCAAAATATAATATGGTAGTGCATTCTTCTCGACTCATTTTAGGAGGTCAGCATTACTCTGATGACAAAGCAGAGGCATTATGAAAAAAGAAATGTACAGACTACATTTGTACAGACTACATAGTGTACAGACTACGTGGTGAATACAGGTGTCAGATCCTTAACAAAATTTTAGCAAATTGGATGGAGCAATTTATGAAAAGGATACTACATTAATCCAGCAGGATTTATCCCAGTAACAAAAGGTTGGCTTAATATTCAAAATTCAGTATTTCATCATTTTAACAGATCAAACAATAAAAATTTATGTTCAGGTGTGGGATTTCAAGAATGAAGGAATAAGGAATTTGACAGACCCTATCTAGAAAAAAAAATGTTTCAATTATTTCACTAGCGAAAATAGTATATATTTTTAAAATTAATCATTTAAAGTCTCTGGAACTAATTTAAGGGAGGATAACAAATAGAGAAATGTTCAAGAAAATCTACTAAACCTTGTTAATAACATTGAAAGTCTATGATATTTGAGCCATGACCTGCTTCATCCAACTACCTCCCACCCTTCAGTTCATGTTTCTGGAAAGAGTGGTTGAGAAGTTGTAATTTCTTCCTCTACCCTGTCCCCTACTTACAGAATAGAAACTATACCAGACATGGCATGCTGAAAATATTGGGCTCCAGATCAACCCCACCCAACATATTCCTTGGTCAGAGATTCTACAATGAGAGGAGCAAGCTAAGATTACCATGGTCTGCCACCTCCCCTCAATGCCCACTGACAGAACAGAGATTGTTACTGGAAAAAGTGGGTGCCTGCCCCAGTTCAGTGCAATGGCACAGGGATTCTTCCCAGGTTGAAAGGCAGCGATATTATTTGGCTGTGTCCTCAACAAAATCTCAACTTGAGTTGTATCTCCCAGAATTCCCACATGTTGTGGGAGGGACCCAGGGGAAGGTAATTGAATCATGGAGGCTGGTCATTCTCCTGGTATTCTCTTGATAAATGAATAAGTCTCATGACTTATTTATCAAGGGTTTCCACTTTCGCATCTTTCTCATTTTCTCTTGCCACCACCACCTAAGAAGTGCCTTTCACCTCCCACCATTATTCTGAGATCTCCCCAACCATGTGGAACTGTAAGTTCAATTAAACCTTTTCTTGTTCTCAGTTTCGAGAATATGTTTATCAGCAGCATGAAAACGAAGTAATACAGATAGTCTGTAAATACAAATGCTCTGCAGCTCTGTGTGATGGGACTGACTTCATTTGAAACAGATAATATAACAATCCATGTCTAAGAGCATTGCTGAAAATAATGGTGGACTTGGTGGAGAGCAATTAAGAGGAGGCTGGAAGCTCTAGAATACGAGCAAAATGGCAGAGCAGCTTGAAGAGAAATAGGGAAAGAGATGGCTAAAAAGAGCCCTACTGAGATCACAGTCATTTATGGGAATCAAGAAGGCTATGCACATGTCCTAGACCACAACCACTCAGGCACATGCGGAGCAGAAAGTCGGGGAGAAATGAAAGCATTCCACAACCTGGACAAACCATCAACACAGGTGACATGACTCACTGGCATAAGGGACTTAAATGTATCCTATAACAAACTGTTGAACAAAAAGCTGCTCTGGCCCAGGGACAATTCCTGGGAAACCAAGCTAAAAATAAAATCAGGTTCATACATGGCAGTCTGGGCAACCATGTGCATGCCCAAGGCTGCAATCTTTCATGTGCAATTAGGGAGGGAGCCTCCAATACACTAGTCTCTGGCTGAATGTGGGACAAAAAAATACAAATATCCTGAACTGCGATGGTAGCTCCCAAGCCACACATATATCCTAGAGTGTAAAATTATAACTGGGTAAGGTGTCATAAACACAACTTTTTACCACTAAGTGGCTTATTCAAGCCCAGGGGCCAAGTCCATTCTGGACCTTAGGGTAGCCTCCATTGATCACTGGTACTCCATCCATGTTTCATTTGTTAGATGTTCTGGGTCATGGGGCTCTCTCAGGCAGAGACTGTGTCTAGCAGACGCCCTCACCCTTCCTGGACAGGCCCTGCAGAGGGAGGTATGCCCTGCTTCTGCACTGGCCTATGAACTCACACCTCACACTCAGTGTATTGAGATTGGGGGCTCCTGCCCAGATTGAGTTCTGGCAAAAATCTCAACTCAGAACTCCTGAGCTGTGTGCTGCAACCTTGGGGCATTGGAACCATATCAGTGACTTTGTCCTTTGGGGTCAGGTACTTGTGCTGAGGGAGCTGAAGTTCCTAGGCTGTGGGGAAAGCACTCCAGCAGGGCCACTGGCAAAACAGTCAGGCCTAGCAGTGGAGACTGTGCTGTGTGAACACAGTTGCAGAATCAGCCAGGCAAGAGCCTTGGAGGGATTGTGGACAGGAGGACATGCAGAACAGATGTGTCCAGAGAGCCTTGGGTGATGGGTGCCTATGGCTGCATTTTGTTGCAGCTGCTCCACATGTAAAACCCTCTGGGGTCCATGTTGGCTAGAGCTCTGTCTTTGTCTATTCTTTGGGCAGATCCCCTTGACAACTGAAATGACAGCAGGAGTTGTGGGATCTCTTGTAGCTAGGATGCCAGAGGTTCACGGTGAGAGTGGAGTGCCCTGCTGTCACTTCACTCACCCATTCCTTAGGAGGTGTTCCGGTCCAGGAACTAATCCTGGTGCTTGGCACACCCATGCAGTTTTCCCAGCTTTCTCTCTATTCAGCCTAAGCATCTGTGTAACCTATCAAATCTCAGTAATTTCTCTCCAAAGATCTGTTTGAAGTACCAAGAGATAGTGGATAATTCACTGGTTCATTTACTGGATATTTTGGTCTCTTGTGGTGGGAGAAGTGCTTCCTGGATGTTTCTACTTGGCCATCTTGTCCCTCACTCCAGAAACTACTTTCAAAGAGGACCAGATGGTGTATTTAGAAGACAAAGACTTCAAAGAAGCTATAATATATTCATAGGGCTGGGCACAGTGGCTCATGCCTATAACCCTAACACTTTGAGAGGCCATCAGGGGATGATTGCTTGAGACTGGGAATTTGAGACCAGGCTGGGCAACATGGTGAGAAAACAATGAACTTAAAAAAACATGCTTAAGGAAGTAATGGAAGATGATCTCAGTGAAAATGTGTAACAACCTCCAGAAATGCTTTATGCCATAAAAGAAGAAGAAAACCTGGCAGAAAAATTCAAAATTAACTTATCAGAATGCTCAAAATTAATAAAGTTTTATAGCAATCAGAGAGCATTTATTTAGGAAAAACAGTTAAATCTTGGTTAAATCAACAAGCTTTGTGGCATTTCAAATAGTCCTATTCACATCTGTGTCTCTCCAATTTGTTGACAAATTAAACTTAAATTTAATTAAAGTTTTAAAGAATTGTCACTTAACCAATTTGAAAATCCTTTTTCATGGGAACATTTGTCAAAAATCATGTGTAGAAATTGTTTAATATCACAACTACCTGAAGTGGCTACAATGGTTCAGTCAGACAAGAAATTGACGAAAAATGGTAAATGGAAAAACTGAGTTATAAATTGTCCATTGTGGGCTTTGAAAGTTGTTCCTGGGAATCTAGAAAGCCACAAGTATGTGTAGGGCCATGTACAAGCTCAGGGCTGTACACACGTGAAGGAAAAACCTAAGAAAACCCTGAGCCTTCACTACGGGCTAACCTTAAAGCTTTGTGTAAACAGGAACTGGGGGCTAAGGACGAGCTATAAATTGCCTACCAGAACATTGAAGATGTGTCCAAACACAAAGAGCCTTTCAGTTAAAACCAGGATACTTACTAGTTTCATGTTTGTAATGAAACCTCCGTTTTAAATGTTAACTGACCGCTAAGATAAATGAGCAGAGACTTCATTGACCACATATGAAAAGAATACAGACTTTACAGAATTAGATCAGAACAGTTACTAAGCAAAAGACAATAACATCAACAGCAAACAATAGCAACAATGAACACCTTGGCAGGAGGGAGTATCTAATTTCCAGAGTTACCACATTATATTATTTTCAATGTCAAGTGTTCAATAAAAATCATAAGACATGCAAAGAAATAAGAAAATATTGCCTATAATGGGAAAAATCACTTGGCACTGTCCATTAAGAAGCCAGATGTTATATTTACATAGTGTTTTAATTAGCTATTTTAAATATGTTCAAAGAACTAAAGAAACCATGCCTAAAGAACTAAAGGAAAGGATGAGAGTTGTGCCTTATTGAATAAAGAACATTATTAAAGAAAGATAAATTACTTTTAAGAGAAACTACAGTAATTCTGAGGTCAAAAAGATAACTAGATTGTAAAATATCTTAACAGCCGATGTGAGCAGATGGAAGAGAGAATCAACAAATAGTGAAGACGGTCCATTGAGTTTATCTAGTCTGAGGAACAGAAAGAAAAAAGAATGAAGAAAAATAAACAGAGCCTCAGATAACTGTGAGATACCATAAACAGAACATTCTGTTTGTATGGGAACATACGAATATACATTCTGTTCTGTTTATGGGAACTCCACAAGGAGAGGGAAGAAGGTGGAAGGAATAATAGCTGAAGAAATGTCTGAAAACTCTACAAATTTGATTAAAAATATCAATCTGCACATCAAAGAAGCTCAACAAATGCCAAATAGAGGAAAAAAAAAATGAGAGCTCCAAACCTTGACACCTAATAATCAAACTGTCAAAGGCCATAGAAAAAAAGAATCTTGAAAGCAGTAAGAAAGAAACATGTAAGGGGGATCCTTAATTAAAGATTATCAATTGATTTCTCATCAGAAATTATAGAGGCCAGAAGGCAATGGGATAATATATTCAAAGTAACAAAAAAAATCATTGTCACCTGAGAATTATTTGATCCAGCAAAACCATTCTTTAAACATGAAGGAAAAGTAATATATTCCCACGCAAACAGAAACTCAGAGAATTTGTCACTACAAACCTGTTTTACAAGAAATACTAAAGGGAGTCCTACAAGAAATACTAAAGTGAGTCCTTCAGGCTGAAATTAAAGGACTCTAGACAGCATCCCAAATCCATATGAAGAAATAAAGATCACCAGTAAAGATAATTATACAGGGAAATATTAATTAAATTTCTGGGGTAAACCTAAGGGGAAAAATTCAAAAAATATAGTAATAAGTAATGAAAATGGAATTACAATGCTACTGTAGAAAATATTTTACACAGAAGAAGGCAGGAATGGAGGAACAGAAGAACAAAAAGCATATAATACATAGAAACAAATATCAAAATAGCTAATGTAAATCCTAACCTATAAATTACATTAATGTAAGTGCATTAAATATTCCAACTAAAAGCAGAGATTGGCAGAATGTAAAAAAAATAGAACTATTTGTGGTTTATTAGAGTCAAAATTTAGATTCATATAAACAAAAATGAAAGGACAAAAAATTTTACATCATACAATTAGTAACCAGAAGAAAGTTTATATTAATACAAGACAAAATACACATGAGTGTAAATATTTATGACCTTGGCTTAGTCAATAGTTTTTTTGCATATAATACCAAAAGCACAAGCAGGAAAAAAGATGAATTAGATTTTTTTCTATATTAAATACTTATGCTGCATATTATACTCTCAAGACAGTGAAAAGACAACTTATGTAATTAATGAAAATACTTGCAAATCTTGTCTCTGATAAGGGACTTGTATGAGAACATGTAAAAATTTCTTGCAATTCAACTATAAAAAGACAACCCACTTAAAAAATAGAAAAAGTATTTGAATGGACATTTCTTCAAATAAGATTTATAAATGGCCAATAAGCACATGAAAACTTGCTAAACATTAGTTATTAGGGAAATACAAATCAATACTCCAAATGGATATCACTTCCCACCACCTAGGACATTCATAATCTAAGAGATGAATAATAACAAATGGATTGGGAGAAAGTGGAACCCTCATACACTACTGGTGGGAATGTATGATGGTGCTTTTGCTTTGGAAAACAGTATGGCAATCCCTTAAACGTAGAGTTATTCATGTTACCTATCAGTCCCACTCTTACGCATGTATTCAAAAGAAATGAATACATGTACCTTACACACTTGTACACAGATGATCACAGCAGCATTATTCACAATAGCCAAAAATGGAAAACAACCCAAATGTCCAATTGATCAATCGATAAATAAAATGTATAACCATACAATTGAATATTATTCAGCAAAAAAAGGAACAAAGTCTTGACACATGCTAAATCATTGTTGCATCCTGCAAACATTATGCAAAAAATCCAGACACCAAGGACTACATATTTTATTATTTCATTTATATGAAATATCCAAAATAGACTTCCTCTGAACATATTCATAATTACTTTCTATTTGGTTTTGCTAAATGGCTGGAAGGTAATCTGTGGTCATATTGCTACCATGAGGGTAGAACTTACCTGATTATGGTGTCTACACAGGAAAGAGCAGAGCCAAGATATAAAGAAAGACAGATTTATAAAGGCATATTTTGAATACAAAAATCCATCTGGATTCCAAGTAATCCCACTTAAGTGAATTTAAAAAGTTTCAGTTTACGTTGGGTCTCTTGTCACATGCAATAGAAAGAGTCCTAACTAATGTGGTTCTATAAAAACAATTATTTGTTTTTCAGTTCCAAGGTAATTAAGATATTGTAAATTCAGGAAAAATGTGCTTCAGAATATTTTTGACCACAATAGTAATGTCTTTTTGTCAATATTCATTCTTCCATAGAATAATTGACCAGTAGAAAAGGCCAAACCCTGTCTAGTATGTATATATCAGTTAAACATGCAACAACTTGGATTATATGATCATCATTTTCATATTCAAATTTCATTTAAAAATACATTACTTTTTAGTGGTAATAGTAGTCCTTCCACCAGTGGAGGGTTGGTTATGAGATGAGTATATTTCTTGCCGCAACTTTGAGAGTTCCTTACAAATAAAAGATAATATAATCATTTGAAGGAAAGTAGAATGAGATAAGAAGTATATTTAATCATTTAGCAAGGTTACTAACAATAACTACACCTCCTCCTTTTTACTCCTTTTTGGCCTTGAGGTAATAATGTTCTAATCCCACTTGTTGAATATCATCTAGTGTTGCTTTGCAATACCTAATAAGTTATATTATATGCCTGTGCAGGAACCTGCAACTGATACAGGATATCTAAATTTGGAGGATAACTTGAGATTGAATGGGCATGGTTGTAAAGATGACGATGTGAAAGTTTTTGCTCTGAAAGCCTTAAAACTATGTCCATAGAAGAAAAGTATTGAAACTTCAATATATAAGCAGATATAGTTTCCTAACGGAGAATTTATCAATGAATGCTACTACAGGCACCATTTGCTCCATAGTAGCAATACAATATTACCCATAATTTTTGATAATTCCTTCAGTACCTATTGAATGCCATATCATGGGCTACAGATACAAGGAGGAATATAACACATGCTTTAATAAAGCATCTCATAACGTAGTAAGGAGGTCATAGTCTACTGGGAATTTCACTGCTAATTAAATATAAAATCAATGTCTTAAAAATATTAAATGTACAACAGCACTTACTTTTTGCTTCAATTCTAACTTTCATTTGAATCATTTATCCTGAAATATGTATATTCTACTTCCTCACTTGCACATATTTTATTTCATGAAATAAAGTGAGTCTTGCATATGTGTCCTTTTCTAGTCCATGGGAAGTATTTATCCCACAGTTCTAAGTTGTATTAGTTTAATCCACCCCCACCCCTTCCTTTTATACCTCTGACTGACGCTTTATAAGAGAATCCTTCTCTTCCAGCAAGCTTGTCAGTTCATGGAGCTTAAATTGGAAGTCACTACAACTTCCGTCTCTCTTTGAAACATCTTTTTGGTACTGGTTTAATTGAGACTAAGGATTTAAAAAGAATAAGTATTATTACAATCTTCATTTACAAAACATGTAACTGAGTTCCAGGGAGGTTAAGTGACACAAACTCACACTGCTAGTTATGAAATGAAAGTAAAATACCAATAGTCATAAACTTTTACAGAATTCCATGAGTATGTAATATGAATTGAAATGGCAATTAAAAATTTCTCCTTTTTTTAAGGTGCCTTTGCTATGTAGTACTAAACATTATCTACATAACAGTCTTAGGCCACAAGATTTAAAGTAAAGCTAAGAAAACAGGCACTTTAGATTCCTTAAATTACTAATTAAGGAAATTACAATACCAATAACTACTATTACATTCTGATTTTCAGTTTACAAAATATTCCTCCTGCATGAATTATCTCAGTTCTCACAGTAGCGCTGTGAAATAAGCATTATTATTATCATTATTATTATTTTGACACGGAGTCCTGCTCTGTCTCCCAGGCTGGAGTGTAGCAGTGGCATGATCTTGGCTCACCGCAACCTCTGCCTCCTGGATTCAGGTGATTCTTCTGGCTCAGCCTCCCAAGTAGCTGGGACTACAGGTGTGTGCCCCCATGCCTGACTAATTTGTGTGTGTGTGTGTGTGTGTGTGTGTGTGTGTGTGTGTAGTACAGTGTTTCACCATATTGGCCAGGCTGATCTTGAACTCCTGACCTCTTGATTCATCTGCCTAGGCCTCCCAAAGTGCTGGGATTACGGGCGTGAACCACCACACCCAGACATAAGCATTATTATAATATTCGTTTACAAAATAGATAATGGGCTCCAGAGAGGTTAAATGACACCTCCACACAGTAACATAGCTGCAACTCCAAGACAGATCTTCTACTACAAATCTTGTCCATTTCCCTCTTTAACTCATATGTGTCTAGGTTAGGTTGAAGTGCTATCAGTAATGTTAGGATGGAAAAGAAATCTGCTAGAAGTATTGGTAGGTTTTTAAAACAAATTATATTTTGTTTCATTTTGATTTTTGGTAAAAATTATGTAGTGATATTTGGAAAGACAAATATGTGATTATTTTGTTTATTAAAATATTTAAGTATATTTTACTACATTTAGGAATCAGGAAATTAAGGATTAGGTTAAGTAAATTCAACCTAGAATTACAAGATAAGGCAACATATACTTACAAATATCATCTTGATTTTGATGTCAATTATAGGTACATAAAACTTAACATTGTTTTTATCCTCATGCGTGACAAAGTTCTTGCTATTTATCATCCCTCAAAATTAAGTGAGAATTTTTACAAATCTAGCTGTGGCTCTGCTGGGCAATCTCAAATATTGCTTTTGCCTGCATAAGCATGCTTTAGGCAAAATCATAAAGAGTCCTCCACCTATCCAAAAAAATAAATTAATAGAAACCAAAACACTGAAATGAATGTCTTCTTTTATTTTCCTAGAAGAGATTAAGCTGAACTAGGAAATAATTTAACAATCATATTTTAGATAGAGTAATGTGTATTTAAAACAAAAGGATCCATGACGTATTTCTAAAACTCTACCTACAGCTAATTTTTTCTTGTAGCTTTAAACTTGAAGCCATCATTATGTTGCTAGAAAGTTTGTATTGACCTGTGTATTTATGCAATGTATTAAGATCAACATACCCTCAGTCTGCAGATCTCTCTATCTTTCTCCATTCTCAAGTTTTTTACCATCTCTGTGTAATGGTTGCCAATCTCATCCATTTTAGCCTGCAGCATTGGCCCTGTGCAAGTCTCAGAAACCTATAGAAGGCAAAATAACTATCTGTAATTGGATTGTTTTGAAGAAAATACATATTATGTTACAAGGATTATTAGATGAAAATTACATGATTAAGACGTTGAAATAATGAAAGCAATTTTCAGGAACTGCATTATAAAGCTCAAATGTCAGTGATTAAGATCTAATAGTGTGTAAGGGAAAGCAGTCCATATATTTTCTCAAGATGAATAGAATATATATATATTTACTATTTATATTACCAATGCTAGGATTACAATGATGTAACTAAGGCAGTACTGTGTATTTAAAATGAAGTTTTAATACCTGCATTCTAAGGTTTTGATTCTCTTGCTCTAAATTACGTTTGCAGTATTCCAATTCTTTTAGTCTGTATTCCATGTCTGAAAGTGTATGTCGAAGAGAGAGATTGTTTTCTTCCAGTGCCTGGCATTTTGAACTTGAGTCTTGAAGTCCCTGCTGTAAAGAAGACACAGGTAAGTAAGACAAATGCATTTGGTTTTTGGTGAGGGCGTGGTCTTTTTACTGATTCATTTAATTGAATCAAGTAATTATTTTCCCATGTCCAGTTTTCTTATACTCTTGGTCTTACATGGTACATTAAGTCAGCCATGTAAGATATTATAGTGTCACCTCTAGTCTCACATTCCTATTTTGAGTGAGAGGGAATCATGACTAGATGAATTTATAATGTCTCATTTTAACAATCAGATGCTTGCTGCTCTGTGACAATACTGTACCCTGCTTTCTAATAGGCACAAAAAATGACCATATGACTGATTCTTTATGTGACAACTAGTAACTGAGGAAGAATTTGGGACAGTCATAGGAGTAAAGATCAGGAACAGGTAAGCCTTAGAGACTACTTACAATTTCCTAGGAATTCTCTCTGCTCAGACATCCAGAGAACTCATCTACAGTTTTTTCATTTGTTTATTTATTGCACAAACATGGGCTAAGGTCCACAACAGCTTTTTTCATTGACATGTTAGTAGATTAAACAAATGCATGAACCTAGATTTTTTATCACCCAACAACATAAACAATTGTATGCCCTATATACTTTATATCTAAAATACATAAGATTATCTGTTTTTCTGAGAGGGCTTTCAGCCATTGGAAATGCTCAAATCCTCTCAATTCTCATATGAACAAATTTTTCCATCATATTTTAATTCTATCTTGATTATATCTCATAACCCCAATGTGCCAGTAATTGTGTATATGAAAAGTTTTAATCTAGTTTAACATCAATAAAAGCATCAATTTACCTGCTGCTGCTGATTATTTGCTCTCACCGATGCCAAGAGTTCTTTGTACTCTTTTATTTGAGTATCTTTGAATGATAAGTCTTTCTCAAGTCTCATCTTGTCATTTTCCAGAGACTAGAAGCATAAATTATTTATTATGGTTCAGAATTACAGAAACTTGTCAACAGTCACATAATACAAAGACTTGTTTACCTTGGAAGATTTAAATAAACACTTGTTTCATTTGTACTTGCCTAATAAGGCAAAATTCTTAAAAGTTAAGACAATATGGGATACGAAATGATTGAAACTTCTAAAACCTTCATTGAAAGAGACATTTTGATGGACTGACTAACCATACATGAAATGAAACAGAACCTTCTGAAATTTTTAATGTTTTTTTCCAATCTATAAAGAATCCTTGTTAATCCCAGCAGGTGGTAAATTTTTTAATTAGAGTCTAAATATGTTCATCATAACCCAGAAACAACAAAACTACTCCAAAGTCCTCAAGGCATTATTCAAAGTGCGGAAAGCATTCTGAATGTATCTAGCTGATGGCACCAAGAACACCAATTAAAATAGAAAACAGAAAAAAAATAATTTTTTAGAGAAAAATGTTTTTGAGCTATTGTATTTGAATGGTAATTCAGAGTATGCTTTAGAAATATGAAAAAGGGGGAATTTACCTTCAATGAGTCAGATTATTTTAATTTTGCAAACTACTCTCTCGCTTTAATCATTAAATTGCTTTAGTAGTAAACTAAATAATATGTGCATATCCAACATTCTTTAATTTATACTTTAGATACCTCTTTTCTCCTCTCTCAATGCCAATTAACTGTTTGAAGAAAATAATTGAGCTTTGTCTGAGTAAGCATAATATTGTGCTGTAAAAATTTTAAAAGGTATATTGGACATCTTTATTTCTGTATCAGGAAGCTAGGAATTAGAAAGGCTTTGGAAAATATAAAAATAAATCTTACTGTCAAGTCATTTTGAAGATGTCCAAGCTCCTCCCGTATGTTGCTAAATGTGGACAGCACTAAACGGAGTGACTTATCAGACATACCCCTCATCTGGAGGAAGAAAGGATTAATGGTTTATTTTTACTAACATTTGAAAATAGGCACTATAAGTGAAAGTTATCTTATTTTTTTGTTCCTACTAGCAAACTTATTAATAATCTTACTCTGTATGGCAAATTAGAATCGTGATACAAGGCATTTTGTCAATAATGTGGTTAAGTAATCCAAATAATAGTCCTGAAGATAGCATAGCTATGTATTTATAACAAGTATTTATTATTTTTGCCATGGCAAAGTATCATCTTTGTCACAAGGTAGCATTCTGTCAGCAAAATTTTAGTTTTACATTATTCTTTACTTAAAAGATTAGAAGAGATGAGACAGTTAATCATCAAATAATAAAATGAGTCTCCCTAAGTGTATTGCCAACTTCCTGAATTTTGCCTGAGGTGAGAAGAATATAATACTAATTAAGTTTAACTTTAACGTATAGAGCTATCTCAATTTTTTTTAAAACTGGAATTCACTCTGTCACCTACGTTGGAGTGTAGTGGCATGATCTCATTTCACTGCAATCTCTGCCTCCTGGGTTCAAGCAATTCTCCCACCTCAGCCTACTGAGTAGCTGGGACTACAGGCAAACACCAACATACCCAGTGAATTTTTATTTTTCGAGTAGAGAATGGGTTTCACTCTGTTGGCCAGGCTGGTCTCGAACTCCTGACCTCAAGTGATCTGCCAGCCTTGGCCTCCTAAAGTGCTGGGATTACAGTTATGAGCCGCTGCACCTGGCTCATCTCAAATTTTAAAGAGAGAGGCAACTCTTTTACTAGATTAGTCTCATTTCTTTAAAGAAAAATGATTTAAAAAACAGACAACTTCAACTCCTGCAAAGATGGAGTAGAAATACTTTCCATGCTCAAGCAGACGTTTGTTTAAGGTGTAACTTTGTAACTTCAGCCTCTGATTGGTCACTTTCTGAAACCAATCCGACAGTTAACGGGCCACTACTTTATTTACATAGAATGTATACTAAGTTACCAATGGGTAACCTCTAGAAGGCATTTAAACCCCAGAAAATTGTGTAACTGTGCTATTGAGCCAATTGCTCAGCCCACTCCCACCCTGTGGAGTGTGCTTTCATTTTCAATAAATCTCTGCTTTTGTTGCTTCACCAAAAAAAAAAAAGGAAGAAAAAAATACTTTTCCCTAGCCTTCCTGCTAAGTACAACTAGAAGTCCTGGACATTATATATAAAACAAATATAGAAAGAGTAGATTGGTGAAAAGAGAGATAATTGATTAGGAATCTTGGGACCTGAGAAATGACACAGCAGTGAGTTCCTGGGTTTTCTTTTTGCTCCATATATTAGATCAACGTTGGGGAAACTGGTAATCTAGTTACATCAACGACCAACGAAAGTCCTGAGAAAAGCCTTTTCGCTCTAGCCAAAGGACCATGAAAGGGTCAGCCTAGCAGGGCAGAAAACTTTTAGATAGTAACCAATGTACCTTAACCAACACCACAGAAGAAACTGCGACTCTATTTCTACACAAACAATCAAAGGCCAAGAAGAGATTTTTTTTTTTTTTTTTTTGAGACAGAGTCTAACTCTGTCTCGGCTCACTGCAACCTCCACCTCCTGGGTTCAAGCAATTCTCCTGCCTCAGCCTCCAGAGTAGCTGGGACTACAGGTGCATGCCACCATGCCCAGCTAATTTTTGTATTTTTAGTAGAAACGGGATTTCACCATGTTGGCCAGGATGGTCTCGATCTCTTGACCTCATGATCCTCCCACCATGGCCTCCCAAAGTGCTGGGATTACAGGCTTGAGACACCGTGCCCAACCAAGAAGAGATCTTAGACTTCCCCCTTGTCAGGCTCTATGGAGGTACCCAACACATTCACTAGGACAGTGTCAGAAAAGGCAGAGTGAAGAGATGGGGCTTTCCTTTCCACTGGTCAAAAATGAAATGCAAACACTGTGATATCAATTGAGACTGGGAAGGGAGCTTGGGCTTTCACCCTAGGACATCAAGAGAAGCTGAGTCGGGGAACCTCTACTTCCACCACCAGCTGGCTGTAATAGGTAGTGCACACACTTTCTCTGATATTTGAGTATCTAAATGAGACCCAGAGAGTGACAACATAAAAATAGCTAGGTCTCACATCCAAGTACCAGCCAGGCTCAATCCTGTTTAGCTTCTAAGATCAAAGGAGATCAGGCATGTTCAGGGTCAATTGAAACTCACTGATAATTCCAGGAACAACAAAAATACCAACTCAGTAAGAAAAAGCACTTAATTGATGACAACATCAAGATAATAGAAATGTTAGAATTACCTGATAAAGCATGCAAAACAACCATCATAAAATACTTCAACAAGAAGTTGCAAAGAGACTGTAAAAATACATTGTCTCAACAACAAAATAGAAAGTCTCAGCAAATAAATAGAAGATATAAAAAAATACCTAAATAGAAACATTAGAACTGAAAAGGTCACTAACCAGACAAGTGGCTGGGCACAGAGGCTCACACCTGTAATCCCAACACTTTGGGAGGCCGAGTTGGGCAAATCACCTGAGGTTGGGAGTTCGAGACCAGCTTGACCAACATGAAGAAACCCCGTTTCTACTAAAAATACAAAAATTAGCCCAGCCTAGTGGCACATGCCTGTAATCCCAGCTATTCAAGAGGCTGAGGCAGGAGAATCACTTGAACCTGGGAGGCCAAGGTTGCAGAGAGCCAAGATTGCGCCATTGCATTCTAGCCTGGGCAACAAAAGTGAAACTCCATCTCAAAAAAAAAAAAAAAATCTGGACAAGCAAACAAAAACCAAACCAAAACAACAAAACTCTCAATGGTAGGCTAAAAAGCAGAATGCCGAGAACAGAAGAAAGAATTAGTGAACTTAAAGATAGAACAAGGTAAAGTATATAATCTGAATATTAGAAACAAATAAATTAGAAGAAAATTAAACAGAGCCTAGAGGCCTGTGAGTGTATAACACATGCTTTCATGTTCAGAGTACTGGAAGAAAGGAGAAAGAGAATAGAGCTGAAAAAATATTCAAAAAAATTATGGCTGAGAACTTTCCCAAATTAGAAAAAAACTGGTAACATACATATTCAAGAAGCTATGCCTATCCCAAACAGGATAAGGCCAAAGATATCCATTACCATGCAAATCCGCTCTTAGTCTGAATGGCTTCCCTTTGTGGCTAACTCAACCTTCCTCTCTGGCTGCCTTTAACAATTTTCCCATCATTTCAACCCTGGTGAATCTGACAATTATGTGTTTTGGGGTTGCTCTTCTCGAAGAGTATCTTTGTGATGTTCTCTGTATTTCCTGAATTTGAATGTTGGCCTGTCTTGCTAGGTTGGGGCAGTTCTCCTGAATAATATACTGAAGAGTGTTTTCCAACTTGGTTCCATTCTCTCTGTCACTTTCAGGTACACCAATCAAACACAGGTTTGGTCTTTTCACATAGTCCCATATTTCTTGGAGGCTTTCTTCATTCCCTTTCATTCTTTTCTCTCTAAGCTTGTCTTCATGCTTTATTTCATTAAGTTGATTTTCAATCTCTGATATCCTTTCTTCCACTTGATTGATTTGGCTATTCATACTTGTGTATGCTTCACGAAGTTCTTGTGCTGTGTTTTTCAGCTCCATCAGGTCTTTTATGTTCTTCTATAAACTGGTTATTCTAGTTACCAATTCCTCTAACCTTTTTTTAAGGTTCTTAGCTTCATAGCACTGGATTAGAACATGCTCCTTTAGCTAGGAGGACCTTGTTATTACCCACCTTGTGAAGCCTTGTTCTGTCAATTTGTCAAACTCATTCTCCATCCAGTTTTGATTCCTTGCTGGCGAGAAGTTGTGATCCTTTGGAGAAGAGGCATTCTGTTTCTTGGAATTTTCAGCCTTTTTGTGCTACTTTTTCCTCATCTTTGTGGATTTATCTACCTTTGGTCTTTGACGTTGGAGACCTTCAGATGGGGTTTTCATGTGAACATCCTTTTTGTTGATGTTGATTCTATTCCTGTTTGCTAGTTTTCCTTCTAACAGTCAGGCCCCTCTGCTCCACATCTGCTGGCGTTTGCTGGAGGTCCACTCCCAAACCTGTTTGCCTGGATATCACCAGTGGAGGCTGCAGAACAGCAAAGATTGCTGCTCATTTCTTCCTCTGGAAGCTTCACCCCAGAGGGGCACCCACCAGGTCTCAGCCAGAGCTCTCCTGTATGAGGTGTTTGTTGAACCCTGCTGGGAGGTGTCTCCCATTCAGGAGGCATGGGAATAAGGGACCCACTTGAGGCAGTTTGTCCCTTAGCAGACCTCAAGTGATATGCTGGGAGATCTCCTGCTCTCTTCAGAGCTGGCAGGCAGGAACGTTTAAGTCTGCTGAAGCTGCGCCCACAGCCACACCTTCTCCCAGGTGCTCTGTCCCAGGGAGATGGGAGTTTTATCTATAAGCCCCTGATGGGACTGCTGCCTTTCTTTCAGAGATGCTCTGCCCAAACAGGAGGAATCTAGAGAGTCAGTCTGGCTACAGTGGCTTTGCTGAGCTGTGGTGGGCTCCTCCCAGTTTGAACTTCCTGTTGGCTTTGTTTACACTTTGAGGGGAAAACCGCCTACTCAAGCCTCAGTAATGGCGGAGGCCCTTCTCGCCACCAAATTCAAGCGTCCCAGGTTGACTTCAGACTGCTGGGCTGGCAGCAAGAATTTCAAGCCAGTGGATCTTAGCCTGCTGGGCTACATGGTGGTGGGATCCACTGAGCTAGACCACTTGGCTCTCTGGCTTCAGCCCCCTTTCCAGGGGAGTGAAGGGTTCTATCTTACTGGCATTCTAGAAAGAAAACTAACACCATGCTAAAAGGGAAATTGTGGCACTAAATGTTTACATTAGAAAATAAGAGGTTTCAAATCAATAGCCTAAGTTCCTGTGTCAAGCAACTAGACAAATAAGAGCAAAATATACCAAAAGCAAGCAAAGAAGGGGAGGGATAAAGATAAAAATGGAAACTTATCATTCTTGTGGTGAGACCATTAAAAATTCATTCTTTTAGCAAGCTTAAAACAGAAATCAATGAAACTGAAAACAGGAAAACGATAGCAAAGACCAATGACACTAAAATCTGCTTATTTGAAAAAGTCAATTAAAATCGATAAACCTCTAAGAAGACTGACAAAGAAGAAAAAGAGAAGACACTAATTATTAATATCAGGAATTAAATAGGGAATAGCAATGCAGACCCTGCAGCCATCAAAAGGATAAAATACTCTGAACAACATGAACAACTATACGTACATAGATTTGACAACTTAGAAGGAATGGACTACTTCTTTTAAAAACACAAGATACCATAACTCACTCAATATAAAATAAATCATTTGAAGAGCCCTTTAACTATTAAGGAATTGAATTTAGTTTTTTTCTAAAATTCCCCTAAACCAAATCTCCAGGCCTAGATATTTTCACTGGAGAATTCTATCAAATATTAAAAAAGAATTAACAGCAAATATTCAGACTCTTCTAGAAAATAGAAATGAAAGAAACACTTCCTAACTCATTTTATGAAGCTTGTATTACCCTCATACCAAAACCAAACAGTACCAAAAAAAAAAAAAAAAGAAAGAAAATTACAAACCTACAAACCAATGTCTCTCATGAACTTAGATGCAAAGATCCTCAGGAAGAGTTTTTCTTTTCTTTTCTTTTTTTTTTTTTTTTTTTTTTTTGAGACGGAGTTTTGCTCTTGTCACCCAGGCTGGAGTGTGCAATCTCGGCTCACCACAACCTCTGCCTCCTGGGTTTGGGCAATTCTCCTGCCTCAGCCTCCTGAGTAGCTGGGATTACAGGCACACTCCACCATGCCCAGCTAATTTTTTGTATTTTTAGTAGAGACGGGGTTTCACCATGTTGACCAGGTGGTCTCGAACTCTTGACCTCGCCATCTACCCACCTCGGCCTCCCAAAGTGTTGGGATTACAGGCATGAGCCACTGCGCCTGGCCCAGAAAGAGTTTAAAAAAAAATAGACCTCCAATGCACTTTGGATGGACATCCCACCACTGGAGATAATATCAAGGATGTCTCCAAGATTCAAGTTTTGAGGAGCATATGTGTTCCCCAAACCACCATCTATAATACAAAGTGTTTGCCACTAAAAATATTTTAATTTTCATAAACATGATACCAGCTTCAGTATTTTGATGATCAACAAAGACCTGAGACCAAATATCAAACTTAAAAATTGGCGTCACCAGACAAAACTAGATTATCTTTAGGTTCATTTGTTGGAAAAACATGTACTCTTCTTTTCAGTCATGTTTCCCTAGCATATATCTGATTTTGTTGTTAACTTCTGTTGTTGTTGTTGTTGTTTGTTTTTGAGATGAAGTCTTGCTTTGCCGCCCAGGATAGAGTGCAGTGGCACTATATCAGCTCACCGCAACATCCATCTCCTGTGTCAAGCAATTCTCTTGCTTCAGACTCCTGAGTAGCTGGGATTACAGGAACGTGCCACCATGCCCAGCTTATTTTTGTATTTTTAGTAGACACTGGTTTTTACCATGCTGACCAGGATGGTCTCAAACTCCTGTCATTAAGTGATTTGCCCACCTCAGCTTCCCACACTGCTGAGATTACAGGTATGAGGCACCACGCCCATTCCTTAGCACCTATCTTGATCTGTGGTCTCTCCTTTCCTCATGGGGAATTTACTGTTCCAGTGATCTCTAGTTTCCACAACTCAAGAAAAATTAGGAACTGGCCTTTCCATCTCTCCTTGCCAATGATGACATAGGTAGGTGTGATAGGGGAAAGGGTGGAATGGAGAAGAGGAAGGTAAAAATTATGAGATAGAGTCAGATTGTACTAAAGCACTGAGGAATGAACAAGGGCATTCAACAGAAGAAAGTAATATTTCCAGAACGTCTTCCTGAATGCTAGTCATTCAACATAATTTTTGGTGATCTGACTAAACTTTAATATAACCCTTGTCTAATCAAAGAATCATCAACTCTTAGGAAACATAATTTTAATTTGAAACTTTCTGTTCTTAATTAAGGGAAGCAATCTAGGGAGCTGTTTGTTAGTGTTGATTTCACACATCCATTCTTGACCTGATCTCACCTGCAGAATATAGCGAATTTGCTGTTTTGTAAACTCTGACAATCCTTTAGGAATCAATGATTCAATGTCTTCTGACTGTAAGAAAAAAAAAAGGCTTGTCCATGGAACAGATACACATCAATCATAAGATCAGCCATCCACAGACTCCTGTGTAATGGGACATATTTTAGGAATATTAAATGATTAATTCACTTTTTGAGAAACAGTTTCTATGAGCTTCCTTTAGCCTTATCAGTTCTTACTTTAAAAAATCAATTATATTACAAACAGTATAAAAATAATCCTGAATTCCATGCATTTTGAGAAAAAGTTTTGTGCTAACAATGAGAAGTTCCATTTCTATTTATAAAAAGATAAAATTAAAACAAAAGCAAAATGGCCTACTAAATTCCTTTGCACACTTTATTCATTGTATATTTTTAAAAACTGGAAGTTTTGTTGGGTGGTAGGTATGACATTGTTAAAGCTGATTTTTGAAATAATGAAAATTTTGGGAAATAAAAAAAAATTAAGGGTGTTACAGGTTTTACTGAGAATTTATATAGAGCTGTAGTGACTTTTGAAAGATTATGATGTTGCTACAACACTGAAAAGCTTCAACTAATTATAAGTGGGGAACTGAAGTACTTTTTTAAGGTAATTTAGGAATTACTGAATAATTGTAATGAATGCGGTATACCAGTAACTGGAAAATAAACGATTAAAAGCACAAAAGAGGACATTGTGCTTTTTATTGCATTGAAATAAGTTTTTCTCTATTTGATTATTCTATTAAAAGTAATTATTAAGAAAATATGCATATGTACCAGATTGATACTTGAAAATATTTTTACTTTAAGTTACTGACTAGCATGGCACATACAAGGCTTTGAAGCATATCAAAACTAAATTTGCTATTTAATCAATCATATGGATTTCAGTTTTCTAAAGCAGAGAATATGTGGTCAGTGAAATATCTCTTGTACCCCATAAATAAATACACCTACTATGTACACACAAAAATTAAAAATAGAATATTTCAAACAAAAATTGCAATAAGGATAGACAAATTAAATCATAAACTGACAGCTGATACAATTTTTATGAATGATTACTAGTTTTGTAGCCATTATAAGTATGTAAGTGTTCATATAATTTTAAAGGCAAAGTGGCCATCATTTCTTTTACTTACCTGCATTTTCAGTCTAGCAAAGGTACTTAACTAAAAGAATATTATTATTGCAAATATCAGAATCTACTTTGTTATTATACTATATTTGATTTTCAGGTAGTTTTGCACTTACCTCATCTGTCAACTCAAAGTCCTGTTTGCTGCAAGAACAAAAAAAGAGATAGACAACTTTAGAAAAGTGCATTCGCTGATCATATATAAATGCTAGTTTTCTATTTTTATCTTACTTTTTGAAATATCATAGCACTTATTCAGTTTACAAGCACAAGTGAAAATGTTAAAACTAAAATTGTACTTTTATTTAGTTTGACTAAAATAATTTTTCTGGAATTCCCAGATCAATTAAAAATGGACATCTGAATAACAAAACAATAAAATATGCAGAAATGGTTAGTGCCATCCATTAACACCAGTTTAATTGTAGCTACATTAGAAGTTCTCAGTGCTTGGCAATAAAGGCTACTTGGGTGAATAAGTAACGAAAATAGCATTTATCTCTCTATTTCCACCTTCCTTTTCTCCTTCTTGTATCTTTCAGCGCTGATTCCATCTTCTCTCCACAGTGTTTTCAAGTTCTTCATACCCTCTTTAACAAAATCAAAACTTGCAAGACAAGCCTGAATAACTCATTTAATATATACTAGAATATATTTGGCAATGATGAGGCTTGAAGGATATTTGAATATTTACATAGGGACAAAGCATTAAGCAAAATGATCAAAATTCTATTAGGGCAATAGAATTTGCAGCATCATAATGAGAATTTGGTGACGGGGGTTAAAAGACCCTTTGTGGAGCTGTGTTAGGTAGGAAAATGCTGCAGGAAAATTGTTACTGGTTATACCACACTGGCACTTACTCCTTTGGGAATGTTGAAAACTGGAAAGGATACACTTACAGTGTTGTCTGAGGCAAGTCACTGGCCTTCATTTTTGCCAACTTGTTCCTGCTCCACTTGATGGAAGAATTAGGCCCAAAATATATATGGTAAACATACTTCTCAAACAAACAAATAAACAAAAAACAGTACAAGGGGTTTGACAGAAGACAGAATATTTATTTTATTTTGAAGTCATTAACTTTTCTTTATTGCCTAGTAGAATTTTATCATGAAAACATTCCAAGGGCCAGGCACTTTGGGAGGCTGAGGCGGGTAGATCACGAGGTCAAGAGATCAAAACCATCCTGGTCAACGAGGTGAAACCCCGTCTCTACTAAAAATACAAAAATTAGCTGGGCATGGTGGTGCACGCCTGTAGTCCCAGCTACTTGGGAGGCTGAGGCAGGAGAATTGCTTGAACCCAGAAGGCAGAGGTTGTGGTGAGCCGAGATCGTGCCATTGCACTCCAGTCTGGGTAACAACAGCAAAACTCCGTCTCAAAAATAAACAAAAACAAAAACAAGAAAACATTCCAAGATTGATTGATCTATTCAATTTTGAAACTTTTGCATAGGTTGAGGGGTTCATGTACAGGTCTGTTATATAGGTAAATTGCATTTTGTGGTGGTTTGGTGTACAAATTATTTCATCACTGAGGTAATAAGCACAGTACCCAAAAGGTAGTTTCTTTATCCTCATCCTCCTCCCACCCGCCACCCTCAAGTAGGCTCCAGTGTCTGATGTTCCCTTCTTTGTGTCTATATGTACTCAGTGTTTACCTCCCATTTATAAATGAGAACAAACAGTATTTTGCTTTCTGTTCCTGAATTAGTTTGCTAAGAATAATGGCCTCCAGCTCCTTCCATGACTCTGCAAACGATATGATCTCATTCTTTTATGTGGCTATGTACTATTAGATGGTGTAGATGTACCACATTTCTTTTATCTAGTCTACCATCAATGGGCATTTAGGTTAATTCCACTTCATTGCTATGTGAATATTGCTGCGATGAACATAGGTGTGCAAGTGTCTTTATGCTAGAACAATTTATATCCCTTTGGGTATTGGTTGAAACAGTTTGACAATTAGTCCAAGAACTTAAAACAGAAGCAGCATTTGATTCAGTGGAATTGCTGGGTCAAATGCTGGTTCTGTTTTAAGTTCTCGGACAAATTGCCAAACTGCTTTCCACAATGGCTAACCTAGTTTAGACACCCACCAGCAGTGCACAAGCATTCCCTTTTCTCCACAAAGCTGCCAGTATCTGTTATTTTTCGACTTTTTAATAAGAGCTATTCTGACGGCTGGGAGAAGGTATTTCATTATGGTTTTGATTTGCATTTCTCTAATGTTCAGTGATGTTGAGGCTTTTTCACATGCTTGTCAGTCACATGTATGTCTTCTTTTGAAAAGTGTCTGTTCATGTCATTTGCCCACTTTTTAATGAGGTTGTTTTTTGCTTGTAAATTATAAAAAAGAAGTGTGGCAATTTCTCAAAGACCAAAGACAGAGATACCATTTGACCAAGCAATCCCATTCCTTGGTATATACCCAAAGGAATATCAATAATTCTGTTGTAAAGGCACATGCATTCATATGTTCATTGCAGCACTATTCACAAGAGCAAAGATGTGGAATCAACCTAAATGCCCATCAGTGATAGACTGGATAAAGAAAATGTGGTACATATACACCATGGAATACTATGCACCCATAAAAAAGAACAAAAGCATGTCCTTTGAAGGGAAATGGATGGAGCTGGAGACCATTATTCTTAGCAAACTAACACAGGAACAGAAAACCAAATACTGCATGTTCTCACTTACAAGTGGTAGCTAAACGATGAGAATACATGGACACATAGAGTAGAACAAAACATACTGGGGACTATTAGAGGGTGGAGGGTGGGAGGAGGGAGAGGATCAGGAAAAATAACTAATGGGTACTAGGTTTAATAACTAGGTGATGAAATAATCTGTACAACAAACCCCCATGACACAAGTTTACCTATGTAACAAACCTGTACTTGTACCCCTGAACTTTAAAAAATGTTTAAGTTTCTTATAGATTCTGTATATTACACCTGTGCTGGATGTATTGTTTGCAAATATTTTCTTCTCTTATTCCATAGATTGTCTTTTAAGTCTGTTGATAATTTATTTTGCTGTGCAGAAGCTTTTAGTTCAATTATGTTGCATTTGTCTGTTTTTGTTTTTGTTGTAATTGCTTTTGGCATATCTGTTATGAAGTCTTTGTCAGGTCTTATGTCTAGAATAATATTTCCTAGGTTATCTTCCAGAGTTTATATTGATTTTGTTTCAGGTTTAAATCTTTAATACATCTTGAGTTAATTTTTGTATATGGTGTAAGGAGGGTTCCACTTTCAATATTCTGCATGTGGGTAGGCACTTATCCCAGCACCATTTACTGAATAGGAAGTCCTTTCCCCATTGCATATTTTTGTAGATTTTTGTCAAAGGTCAGATAGTTGTAGATGTGTGGCATTATTTCTGGGATCTCTATTCTGTTCCATGGGTCTATGTGTCTGTTTTTGTAGCAACGCCATACTGTTTTGGTTACTGTTGCCTTGCAGTTTCGCTCTTGTTACCCAGGCTGGAGTGCAATGCTGCGATCTCAGCTCACCACAACCTCTGCCTCCTGGGTTCCCGCAATTCTCCTGCCTCAGCCTCCTGAGTAGCTGGGATTACAGGCATGCGCCACCATACCCAGCTAATTTTTGTATTTTTAGTAGAGATGGGGTTTCAACATGTTGACCAGGATGGTCTTAATCTCTTGACCTCGTGATCCACCCGCCTTGTCCTCCCAAAGTGCTAGGATTTCAGGCGTGAGCCACCGTGCCCGGCGCCTTGTAGTAGTATTTTAAATTGGGTAATTTGATGCCTTCGGCTTTGTTCTTTTTGCTTAGGAGTGTCTTGCTATTCCAGTCTTTTATGGTTTCATATAAATTTTAAAATAGTTTTCTTTAATTCTGTAAAGAATGACATTGCTAGCTTGATTGGAATAGCATTGAATCTGTAAATGGCTTTGGGCAGTATTGCCATTTTGACAATACTGATTATTCCTCTCCATTAGCATGGAATGTTTTTCCATTTGTTGATGTCATCTCTGATTTCTTTGAGCAGTGTTTTGTAATTCTCATTGTAGAGGTCTTTTACTTCTTGGGTTGGCTGTATTCCCATGTATTTTATTCTTTTTGTGGCAACTACGAATAAGATTGCATTCTTGATTTGGATCTCAGCTTGGATATCGTTGATGTATCGAAATGTAATTGATTGTTGTACATTAGTTTTATATCCTAAAACTTTGTTTAAGTGGTGTATCAAATCAAGGAGATTTTGGATGGAAACTATGGGATTTTCTAGGTATAGAATTATATTTTCTGCAAAAGGGGATAGTTTGCCTTCCTTTCTTCCTGCTCAAATGCGCTTTATTTTTTTCTCTTACCTGATTGCTCTGGCTGGGATTTCCAGTGTGATGTTGCATAGAAGTGGTGAGAGAGAATATTCTTATCTTGTTCTGGTGTGGAGAAGAATGTTTCTTTTTCCAAATTCGTATGATGTTCCCTATGGGCTTGTTAGAGATGGCTCTTATCATTTTGAAGTATGTTTCTTTAATTCCTAGTTTCTTGAAAGGTTTTAACATGAAAGGATCTTAATTTTCATCAAAAAACCTTTTCTGTATCTATTGAGTGATCATGTGGTTTTTGTTTTAAGTTCTGTACATATGGTAAATAGAATTTATTGATTTGCATATGTTAAATCAACCTTGCCTCCCAGGAATAAAGCCTACTTAATTGTGGTGTGGATTAGCTTTTTGATATGCTGCTTAATTTGGTTTGCTAGTATTTTATTGGGGATGTTTTTCATCAATGTTCATCAAGGATATTGGCCTATAGTTTTATTTTTTGTTATGTCCTTGCCAGGTTTTGGTATCAGGATGATGCTGGCCTCACATAATGAGTTAGAAAGGAGTCCCTCTTTCTATTTTTTTTTTTTTCAGAATTATTTCAGTAGAAATGATACCAACTTTTCCTTATACATTTGGTAGAATTTGGCTGTGAATCCATTTAGTTTTGGGCTTTTTCTATTTGCTAGGTTATTTATTACTGACTCAGTTTCAGACCTCATTATTGGGCTGTTCAAGGATTCAGTCTCTTCCTGTTTCAATCTTTAGAAACTGTATATTTCCAGGAATGTATTTCTTATAGGTTTTCCAGCTTGTGTGCATAAGGATGCTTG